AATTTCTAGTCATAGATTTATCGACATTCAATTCATGAAAGAACCAAATTCTTGTAGTTGATTTTGATTTTTTTTATGATGAAACAAATTACGCCTTTGTTGACTTTGCAGTAACTATAATTTAGTTGGTATTTTGTTGTATTTATAGTTCGAAAATTTCATGGATGGAGAGAGATTAGAGATTAATTCTCCTTTCTTTCTAAAATGGAAAATAATAATATAATCCGTTATCGTCAGACGGTAAACGTATATGTTTATAACTAAAATCGACGTGACAATTTTAGATCGACTTAAAGGAAATTGGGTTGAGTAATTGTGTTTAATTGATGGAATATATAAATAAGAACAAGTGATTTTATTAAAATGTGTTTGGTTGTACAGTACAGATAATTCGTTTAGTTCGGTTTTTCTCCATCGGTTTTGCCCTCTTATATAGGCCTTAAAACGGGAGCTTGCCGTCCTGTGTCTTATCAAGTTATAATGTCCATCCTTGAGATATGCATCATCGCCCTATTCAAATAGATTTCATTTGTTGGAGAATTCGATAAAATAGACCATCATGACATTTAGGTCATAAGTCTGCGACCTAGGTCATCATCGCCTACAACCTAGGCAATCATTACGTGACGACTTCGGGAGTGAATGAAGTAGGATCGCGGACCTTTCAACCTAAATCCTTGGCTATTTCGTCTTGAACGGTTTGAGAGAGCTGGGTTGAAACGTGTTGAGCGACTTGCCATCAACCCTAGAAGGCACAACTCGATTCTGTCCAGTTGAACCAGACTGGATGCATTTACTTTGAGTGGAGGGCTCCGTCCTAAGATGCTCATTAAGACATGACTTCGGGCTCTTTCCCTCTCATTCGTAATCTTGATGGTTAAGAGGCATACTAAGCAGGATCTGGATAGATTTGGTCTGATCAAATATTAAGGCCCTGTTTGTTTCGGATTAAAATCAAATCTTAATTTAAGTCAAAGTCAAACAATCAATATTAACCACATTGTTCATGGGTCGCACAACTTTTCCACTACACATTTAAAAAATTTCTATCATAATCTACTAAAAATCTAATTTTAATCCCCACCAAACATCCACTAAATATCAATGAGAATTTATCAATTGCTAAATATATTCTCATCGTTTTTTTTTCAGTCACACAACATTTTGATTACATGAAAGGTCCATAATTTTTACTTATTGTCATATTTACTCTCCACTTTATTTTTTCCACACAACTCTCTCAACCTTCTCATTTGGTAATCTACAACCCAATTCTTAGAATATTCATATTAGCTTTTCTATTGTGCAATCTTGAATTGTATTGTCTCAAAATTTACTAATTTGAGTTATTTATGTCGAATTCTAGTATAAATTCTATTATTATACCTCTTTCTTTCTTCTATTATTCCAAATGGATTATAGCAGATTGTTGAAAACTGGTGACTTCAACCAAAAGTTAATTTGGTGCTTGCAACACGCCGGAAAGGCAGAAAATACCTTGCCACCAGTTCAAGATAATTTAGATGATGATCATAAGAGGACGAATCCAATTGATTTGGATAATTTCAAAGAAAATGAAACGATAGCAATAGGTTCTTGAACACTACAAATTGGTGGCTACAGATGCGGTAGTAGACGAAAAGCCAGAGTACAAAGCACAAAATATTGCAAAGAAAGGTTTTCTTGGAAAAAAGTATATTGGCACGATCCATTTAATAGCTTGAGTCTATTTACAAGAGACATTGC